CTGGCTCCACGGCATGTAACCGTCCTGGTTCTTCATAGCCATGTACCGTACGTTCTTCATGGCATGTACCGTACGGTCTTCATGGGCCATGTTCGTATCTGTCTTCATGGGCATGTTACCGTACTGTCTCCACGGCCATTGTACCGTAATGTTTCATAGCCAATGTTACTCGTACTGTCTTCGCGTCGTGGCCAGGTACCCGTACTATCTTCACGTGGCACATGTACCGTACTGTCTTCATGGCCATGTAACGTAATGTCTTCATAGCCATTTACCGTTCTGTCTCCATGGCCATGTTACGTACTGTCTTACATGGCCATGTACCGTTACTGTTCATGGCATGTACGTACTGTCTTTCATGGCCATGTACGTCTGTCTTCATGGCCATGATTACGTTACTGTCTTCATGGCCAGGTTACCGGTACTGTCTTCATGGGCCTTTGTTACCGTTACTGTGCTTCAGGGCCATGCACCGTACTGTCTTCATGGCCATGCAACGTTCTGTCTTAATATTCATGTACGTACTGTCTTCATGCCATGCAACCCTACTGTCTTCATATTCATGTATTACCGTACTGTCTTCATGTCATGCTCCGTACTGTCTTCTGGCCATGCCCGTACTGTCTCCATATTCATGTTCTTACTGTCTCCATGGCCATGTAAATACTGTCTCATGGCCATGTAATGTACTGTCTGCATGGCCATGTACTGCAATGGTATTCCCATGGCCAGTTCCGTACTGTCGTCATGGCCATATACTGTAATGTCTTCTTTTGGCCATGTACTGCAATGTCTTATGGTCATTGTACCGTACTTGTCTTCATGGGCCTGTACTGTACTGTCTAATGACCTGGTTACCAGTTACTGTCTCCTGACAATGTACTGTACTGTATCAATTGGCAATTGGTAAATGTACTGTCGACAATGGAGCCATGTTGTTTTTTTTAATAAGTACGGTCTGTCTTGGCCATGTAACTGTACTGTCTTCATGTCCATTTACCGTACTGTCTCCAGGGTCATGTTGTACTTGTACTGTCTCCATGGCCATGTACTGTACTGTCTTCATGGCCATGTACTGTACTGTCTTCATGGCCATGTACTGTACTGTCTTCATGGCCATGTAAAGTACTGTCTTCATGGCCATGTACTGTACTGTCTTCATGGCCATGTACCGTATTGTCTCCATGGCCATGTTACATGACTGTTCTCCATGGCCCAAGTAAAGTACTGTCTTCATGACCATGTACTGTAACTGTCTTTCATGGCCATGTTTGCTCTGTACTGTCTTCATGGCCTAATTGTGTGAATGTACTGTCTTCATCGGCCTATGTACCGTTCTGTCTCCATGACCATGTACTGTACTGTCTCCATGGCCATGTAAAGTACTGTCTCCATGGCCATGTAAAGTACTGTCTTCATGGCCATGTAAATGTGACTGTCTACATGGCCATGTTACTGTACTGTTCTCCTTGGCCATTAAAGTACTGTCTCCATGGCCATGTACCGTACTGTCTCCATGACCATGTACTGTACTGTCTTCATGGCATGTATACCGTACTGTCTTCCATGGGCCATTAAAGTACTGTCTCCTATGGCCATGTACCGTACTGTCTCCATGGCCATGTAAAGTACTGTCTCCATGGCCATGTACCGTACTGTCTCCATGGCCATGTACCGTACTGTCTCCATGGCCATGTAAAGTACTGTCTCCATGGCCATGTACCGTACTGTCTTCATGGCCATGTACCGTACTGTCTTTATGGCCATGTACCGTACTGTCTTCATGGCCATGTACTGTACTGTCTTCATGGCCATGTACCGTACTGTACTTCTGGACATGTAACTTGTACTTCTTCATGGCCATGTTACTGTACTGTCTTCATGCCATGTTACCGTACTGTCTTCATGCCATGTACCGTACTGACTTCATGGGTCATGTACCGTCTGCTTCTTCATGGCCATGACAGTACTTTCTTTCATCTCCGTGTACCGTACTTTGTCTGATCTCGTGCGTAACCTAAGTTAATCTAACCTACTCTAAGGTAAACTTAAGTTAATCTTGAGTAAGTCAGTCTTGTTCTAATGTTTAAACCTTCAGGCATCGTTCAAGGCAAAAAGGAAAGAAGAGAAGCGTGCAATGAGGAATGTTCTGATTGTCAGGATGATATATCATGGTAACGAGACCAACATTTTTATCATGCTAGACCAAAACTCCTTATAATATACTGACATCCTAGCCCCCTATCCCTGGTCACAGTGCTACTAAGAGCCCCTACCCTGGATCACCAGTGTTACTAGCCCCCTACACCCTGGATCACTTGTGTTACTAGCCCCCTACCCCTGGGCACCAGTGTTACTAGCCCCCTACCCCTGGGACCACCATGTTACTAGCCCCTTACCCCTGGATCCACCAGTGTTACTAGCCTCCTACCCCTGGACCACAGTGTTACTAGCCCCTACCCCTGGATCACCAGTGTTACTAGCCCCTACCCCTGGACCACAGTGTTACTAGCCCCCTACCCTGGACCACAGTGTTACTAGCCCCTACCCTGGATCACCAGTGTTACTAGCCCCTACCCTGGACCACAAGAGTTAACTAGCCCCCTACCCTGGACCACCAGTGTTAATAGCCCCTACCTCTGTACCACCAGTGTTACTAGCCCCTACCTGGACCACCAGTGTTATTAGCCCCCTACCCCTGGACCACCAGTGTTACTAGCCCCCTACCCCTGGACCACCAGTGTTATAATCACTGCCCAGGACCACCAGTGTTATCTAGCCACCTACCCTGGACCACCAGTGTTGCTAGCACCTTAACCCTGGACCACCATTGTTGCTAACACCTTACTCCTGGACCACCAGTGTTGCTAACCCCTACCCCTGGTCTACCAGTGTTGCTAACCCCCTACCCTTGACCTACCAGTGTTCTAACCCCCTACCCTGGTCTACCAGTGTTGCTAGCCCCCTACCCCTGGAACCAGTGTTGCTAGCCCCTACCCTGGTCTACAGTGTTGCTAGCCCCCCTACCCTGGCCAACCAGTGTTGCTAGCCCCTACCCCTGGTCTACCAGTGTTGCTAGCCCCCTACCCCTGGATCACCAGTGTTACTAGCCCCCTACCCCTGGACCACAAGTGTTACTAGCCCCCTACCCCTGGACCACCAGTGTTACTAGCCCCTACCCCTGGACCACCAGTGTTACTAGCCCCTACCCCTGGACCACAAGTGTTACTAGCCCCCTACCCCTGGATCACCAGTGTTACTAGCCCCTACCCCTGGACCACAAGTGTTACTAGCCCCCTACCCTGGACCACCAGTGTTACTAGCCCCTTACCCTGGATCACCAGTGTTACTAGCCCCTACCCCTGGACCACAGGTTACTAGCCCCCTTACCCCTGGACACCAGTGTTACTAGCCCCTACCTCTGTACACAGTGTTACTAGCCCTACCACTGGACCACCAGTGTTATTAGCCCCTACCCCTGGACACCAGTGTTACTAGCCCCCTACCCCTGGACCACCAGTGTTATTAATCACTAGCCCAGGACCACCAGTGTTATTAGCACCTACCCCTGGACCACCAGTGTTGCTAGCACCTTAACCCTGGACCACCATTGTTGCTAACACCTTACTCCTGGACCACCAGTGTTGCTAACCCCTACCCCTGGTCTACCAGTGTTGCTAACCCCCTACCCTTGACCTACCAGTGTTGCTAACCCCCTACCCCTGGTCTACCAGTGTTGCTAGCCCCCTACCCCTGGCAACCAGTGTTGCTAGCCCCCTACCCCTGGTCTACCAGTGTTGTAGCCCCTACCCTGGCACCAGTGTTGCTAGCCCCCTACCCTGGTCTACCAGTGTTATTAATCCCACACCTGGCACCACAAGTGTTAATTAATCATAGCCCAGGACCACCAGTGTTTATTAGCACCTACCCCTGGACCACGGATGGGTTAACCTGCTTAGATTCCAATCAAAGGATGGGTTAAACTGTTATATTCCAATCACACCAGGATGGGTTCCTCTGTCATTTTGATCATACCTATAGAATTGGTACACTATAAATGATTGAAATATGTCAGCCTGAACTGACAGACTTCAGTAGTGTCAAGCCTCCAGAACTGACCGAATTAGAGTAGGACAATGGAGGATATCGTTAAGTATTCCATTAAAGGTTCATCAGCTACGACAGCTTCGAAGTTCACTTCCGACAGGCTGCAGCTTAACTATCTCTTGTAAATAAAACCAAGACGTTTCTCCTGTTAAACCTTCTGAGGGTTCTTAGTTTCCTGTGGCCTTTTAAGTATCCCCTAGCTCTTGCACTACCTCAGAGGGTGGATATGGGTTGCACAATAAACCAGCCGCTTTTATATAGAAAAAAAATAGTGAGGATGGACTATCCCATGACAGACGATGGGAAGGAATGAATGGGGATGATTGATGAGGGAGGGGAGGGAGGCGAGAGGAGGAGGGGAAGCGAGGAGGGGGGACGGCGGATTAAGATCCACACGACGCGGTTTAGGAAGGGTAGGGGGGAGCCGGTGGAGGCTGGGAGGAGGGTTAAACTGCCTGAGGACTATAAAACGCTCTGAGAGGAAAGGTGAATAGGCTTTGTCGGCGTAATATATGATGGACAATATTCCTTTCCTCTCACTCTCTCTTTCCTTCCCTCCGCCCCGACCTCGTGTTCTTACCTCTATCATGTAGTCAAAAATCTTCAGTCTCCCCCTCAGTCTTCCTTCTCTGTTCCTTATCTAACCTTTTGTTGCCCTCGTACGTGCACGGGGAGAGAATTTCGTAAACAATTATTTCTCCTGTGTGAGGTCAGTCCGTAGTGAAGAGATGGGGGGATTAATTCCCAGGTGATTGTAACTGCAGCTCTGCAGGAAGGTGACTTGGATGCTGTCTCTTGACTGATGAATCTTTAATGGAATACTGACATATGTTCATTGTCCCTGCTGAAGTCTGTAAGATCAGACTGGACATACTGAAGTCTGTCCAGCTCAGGTTGACACTATTGAAGTCTCCAGCTCAGGTGACACTACTGAAGTGTCCAGATCTGGGCTGACACTACTGAAGGTCTCCAGCTCAGGCTGACACTACTGAAGTCTCCAGCTCAGGCTGTCACTATGAAGTGTCCCAGATCGGGTGAACTACTGACAGTCTCCAGCTCAGGCTGGAACTACTTGTAGTTCCAGCTCAGGGCTGACATACCGAAGTCTCCAGTCAGGCTGACACTACTGAAGTGTCCTGATCGGGACTGACACTATCTTGTAGTCTCCAGCTCAGGCTGAAATATGAGTCTCCAGCTCAGGCTGACACTACTGAAGTGTCCCAGATCGGGGCTGACACTACTGAAGTCTTCAAGCTCAGGCTGACACTACTGAAGTGTCCCAGATCGGGCTGACACTACTGAAGTCTCCAGCTCAGGCTGACACTACTGAAGTCTCCAGCTCAGGCTGACACTACTGAAGTGTCCCAGATCGGGCTGACACTACTGAAGTCTCCAGCTCAAGCTGACACTACTGAAGTCTCCAGTCAGGGCTGACACTACTGAAGTCTCACCAGATCGGCAGTTGACACTACTAAAGTCTGCCAGCTCAGGATGAACTACAAAGTCTCCCAGCTGGGCTGCAATACTGAAGTCTACCAGCACAGGTTGGTCATTTTCAACACTGTGACATCCTGTGTGCTGAAAATAATAAACTTTTTCTTTCGACTCTGTACCTGTTCATACAGGTAATATATACAATACTGATAGATCGACAACCACTTGCATACCCATCAGTCGTACAACTCAGGGCAGCATGGGTTTACAGCAGGTCGCTCCTGCCTCTCACAGCTACTGGACCACTATGACAAGGTCTTGGATGCACTGAGAGATAATCAAAATGCAGATGTAGTATACACAGACTTTGCGAAAGCCTTCGACAAGTGCTATCATGGTGTAATAACACACAAAATGGGTGATAAAGGTATAACAGAGTAAGTTGGTAGATGGGTCTATAGCTTCCTAACAAATAGAACACAAAGAGTGATAGTAAAAAGAGTAAAGTCTGAGGAGGTTACAGTGAAAAGTTCTGTCTCAACCTTTTCCTCATTCTCACATCTGATAAAGACAGAGATGTAAGCCACATCATCGTGTCCTCCTTTGCTGACGATACCAGAACCTGCATGACAGTGTCTTCCATTAAGGACACTGCAAATCTCCAAGCGGACATTAACCAAGTCTTTAAATGGGAGTCAGAAAACAATATCGAAATTTTTTTTTAAATTACTCCCTTTTTTGGAAAACTCGAATAATAAAAGCTGGATCGGAGTATAAAACAAATTCCAACCATACAAAAGCGAAAAATTAAGGGAAAGGGACCGGGGAGTGATAAGTAAAGGAATCTCATTTCAAAGATCCCAACAATTACCACCACATCTGCACGGGAAAAAGATAGGATGGATAAAAGAACCTTTAAAACAGGGACGCCAAGCCCAGAATTCTCTTCAAACGCTTTTTTTCTTTAGGCTGGAATATTGCTGTACACTAACGGCCCCTTTCAAGGTAGGTGAAACTGCAGATGTGGAGAATATACAGAGAACTTTCACTGTACGTACAAGGACAATAAAGCACCTAAATTACTGGGAAAGGTTGAAGTCCCTTGATATGTACTTCCTTGGAACGTAGGCAGAGAGAAAGGATACATGATAATATACCAACCTTGGAAAATCCTAGAGGGGACTATCCCAAATCTGTACCGCTGAAAATCACTTCCCATCGAAAGCAAATGACTCAGCAAGCGGAGCAACATCACCCCAATGAACATGAAGCCATGGGCGCCGTTACGTTAAAAGAACAACACAATAAGTGTCAGGGGGCCAAGAACTGTCGTTCAACTGCCTCCCAGCATACATAAGGGGATTACCAAAGACCTTCTGGCTTGCCTTTAAAGGGAACTACACTGACACCTAAAGCCACTGCCTGATCAGCCGGGCCGTGGTTTTCGTACGTTGGACAAATGTACGGCCAGCAGTAACAGCCTGGTTACCTTTACCCCTGAATGAGTTTGGAGCTCTTCGTGCCATGGGGTCAAGGCTCGTTGATCGTTTTCTGATCCACCGGGAGGCCTATAAATTACCGGGGGGGGGGGGGGGGGGGGGGGGGGGGGGGGGGGGGGGCCTCGGGGGTGTTGAAAAACCTTGGAATATACTCCCAGTTCCCCCTACCCCCCCCGTCACCCCCTACCCCGCCCCTCCGCCACCCCCACCCCGTGGGCCCCCCCACCACTTTCTGTCACCCCCCTACCTCCCCCTCCGTCACCCCCACACCCCTTCATTTTTCTTTGCTATTCAATATATGATTGAGTCTCGAGCGGTAAAGATGGTTCAGAGGAAGCGAGGGGAGGAAAACAGGGAAAGGAAGGAGGGAGGGGGAAGATGGTGGAGGATTACGGCCCCAAGATCACCCGCCTTGCTTGCTTGCTTCCTTCCCGCCCCAACCCCTGATCCCCACCTCACCCTCCTCCCCAACCTTCCCTCTACCCTCTTAGAAAATACTCAGTAATGTATTGTCCAGATTTGCAGAGTATTTTCCCTCTACTCAATTCTTACATTTGAAGGAAGCCAAATACTCACGTGATCCCCACACAACACACACACACACACACACACACACACACACACACACACACACACACAACACACAGGACACACCCACAAGAACCACACACACCACACACGACACCACACACACACACACACCACACACATCCACACACATACACACACACACACACACACACACACACAGGCACACACATCACACACAACACATACACACACACACACACACACACACCTAACACACTACGTATGGGTTATGTACTGAATTGTGAATGAGATTGAGACACGATGTTAATATTTATGTTGCCAGAGCACCTAAACGGCGGTGCTGAGGCCAGGAGGAAGTGGAGGAAGTGGAGGGAGGAAGTGGAGGAATGTGAGGGAAGTGGAGGAATTGGAGAAGTGGAAGGAGGTGGAGGGAGGAAGTGTAAGAAGGAAACAGAGGACCAATGGAGTCCTTCCTTGTGGACCAATACTTCTCACAATCCACTTCCTTCTCCCCATTACAACCATGACTCCGGATACCCCCATCTTCCCCACCCCTCCTTTCAACTCCCATTCCCCTAACACCCCTCCCTCAGACTCTCCCTTTCTAACCAGCCCTCCCTCAACTTCCCCTTTCTAACCCCCCTCCCTCAACTCCCTCCTCCCCCTTCTACCCCGCTCCCTCAACTCCCCCGTTAACCAACCCTTCCCTCAACTCCCCCTTCTACCCACCTCCGCTCAACTACTCCTCCCATTTATCCCACCCCTCCTTGAACTTCCCCTTCTACACCCCTCCTTACAACTCCCCCTCTACCCCCCTCCTCCTCTCCTCCCTTCTACCCACTCTCTTTTCAACTCCCCTTCGACCCCGATCCCTCAACTCCTCCCCCTTCTACCACCCCTCCTTGAACTTCCCCTTCCTACCACCACCCTCCTTCAACACCCCCTTCTACCTACCCCCCTCCCTCACCTCCTCCCTTCTCCCACTTTCCTCCCCCAACTCCCCCTTCTACCAGCCCTGTCCCTCCCTCAACTTCCCCCTTCTACCACCCCTCTCCCTTCAACTCCCCTTCTTACCACCCCTTTCTTTTTATATTGCCATAATTTCCTTACCACCCTTCGTTTTTTTTTCCCTCAACTCCCCCTTCTAACCACCACCACCCATTCCTCACTCCCCCTTCTACCACCCCTCCCTCAACTCCCCCTTCTATCACCCCTCCCTCAACTCCCACTTCTACCACCACCCTCCTTCCCTCAACTCCCCCTCTATCCCACGCGGGCCTCCACACAACTCCCCCTTCCTACCCACCATCCTCACTCCTCCCGCTTCAACCACCCCTCCTTCAACTCCCCCCTTTCTACCACCCGCTCCTTCAACTCCCCCTTCTATCTTTACCACCCCTCTTTCAACTACCCCTTCTCCAACCGCTCCTTCACCTCCCCCTTCTACCCGACCCGTTTTCCTCAACTCCCCCTTCTATACCATCCCTCCATCAACTCCCCCTTCTACCCACCCCTCCCTTCAACTCCCCCTTCTACACCCTCCTTCAACTCCCCCCTGCTACCACCCCTCCTTCAACACCCCCCTTCAAGGCACCGCCTCCTTCAACTCCCCCTTCTACCTGACCCCTCCTCCTTCAACTCCCCCCCTTCTAACCACCCCCTCCTTCAACTCCCCTTTTCTTCTACCACCGCCTCCTTCAACTCCCCCTTTCTACCACCCCTCATCAAACTCCGCCTTCAAACAACCACCCTCCTTCGGGGGGGGGGGGGGGGGGGGGGGGGGGGGGGGAACTCCCCCATCTACACTAACCACCCCTCCTTCAACTCCCCCCTCTTACCACCCCTCCTTCCACTCCCCCTTCTACCACCCATCCTTCAACTCCCCCCTTCTACCACCCCACCACAACCTACCCCTCCCCCCATCTACCCACCCATCCTTTAACACCCCCATCTACCACCCCTCCTTCAACTCCCCCCTTCTACCACCGCCCCTTCAAACTCCACCCCATCTACCACCCCACCCCTCCTTCAACTGCCCCCTCTACCAACCCCACCTACAACTCCCACCTTCTAACACCCCTCCTTCAACTTCCCTCCCCTTCTACCACCCCTCCATTCAACTCCCCCCCTACCACCCCTCCTTCAACTCCCCCCATCTACCACCCCTCCTATTAACTCCCCCCTTCTACCACCCCTCCTCAACTCCCCCTTTCTAACCCCACCCCTCCTTCAACTCTCCCCCCCCTTCTACCCACCCAACCTTCAACTCCCGCCGTCCTAACCCCCCTTCCTTCAACATCCCCCCCCTTCTAACCACCCCCTCCTTCAACACCCCCTTCTACCACCCACCTTCATCAACTCCCCCTTCACCCCACCCCCCTCCTTCAACTCCCCCCTTCTACCACCCGCACCTACAACTCCCCCCCTCTACACCCCTCCTTCAACTCCCCTTTCTACCACCCACCCCCTCCTTTCAACTCCCCCCAGTCAGAACCCCCCCTCCTTCAACACCCCCATCTCTACCACGCCTCTAACCACCCCCTCCTACACCTCCCCCCTTCTATCCACCCACCCCCTCCTCAACACCCCCCCCCCTCTAACCACCCCTACTTCAACTCCCCCCCCCTTCTACCACACCCCCCTCCCCACCATCAACTCCCCCTTCTACAACCCCTCCTTCAACACCCCCCTTCTATATCTTACATCCACCCCTCCTTCAACTCCCCCCTTCTAAACCCACCCCCCCCGTCCTTAAAAACACCCCTTTCACCATCCTCCCTCCTTCAACTACCCCTTCTAACCACCCCTCCTTCAAAACTCCCCACTTCAATACAACCACCCCTACCACCCACACCCCCCCCCTTCTACCACCCCTCCTTCAACGCCCCCTTCTACCACACCCCGCCACAACACCGCCCATCTACCA